CTCATGCAAGAACCACCTGGAAAGGGATTTATTCTTAGAGTATGAATAAAGATGTTCCATTCATTGGTTTTATTTATTATTTGGAGTGGTCCTTTCTTTTGATGCATATTGTGCTTTGATACTTTAATTAAATTAAGTAAATAAAACAATCCTGACTCAGCTGATGTGATATTTTTTGCTGTGTTGCTTGTTCTACTGGCACATAATCATCTTCACAGACAGTATTGATAGTGCAGTCATCTTGTTTCAGTCTACAGGTATCTGAATCAGGCCTTCTCCCCTCTGATGTGAACTTCTACTTCCTCTCTGGTAACAGTTCAGCAAAACTGGACAGGATATGAAAATACAGGAATGAAAACATCAAGTGACAACGCAGCAGAAAACCTTTTTCAAACATTTTTATTAATTAATGCAATTTACAGTCAAGCCAAAGAGCGAACTATATTAAGTGATACGTATTCACATTATGTCCTAACAGGGTTTACAGCATATCTTGTGTTCTGTAAGCATAATTGTTACAAAAAGAAGAAGAAAAAAAAGAAAACGTAAAAGAGAAATCAAAGCTTACAATAACAAGAACAAGGAGCTTAGCAGTGGATTTGAAACATATGAAATGAGCAAAAGACCCTCACCAGAACAGGAATGACAGCAAATTCAGTTTTGGCATGTTGTGGTTTAAATAAGGGAGTAAAAGAGATAGAGAAACTAAAATATATGCAAAATATAAGTGAGCTCAAAATGACAGGAGGAAAGGGAGGTTTGAATTCACGCGGCTTTGCAGGGCTGCCTCTACCAAGAGACTTTGGTCACTTTGCTTCTCTGTCATGGCTTATAATTATAAGAAAGAAAAGAAAAAAAAAAGGAGTGTCCTGGTATTAGTTCTGAGTTAATTTTGTATCAATTTTGTAAGTCCGCAGATGATTGTCTTCTGTCAGAAAACAACAACAAAAAAGTTTTGTAGTCAACTGCAACTCCAGGACAGACTGTACATTCTCAGGAGGTAGATAACATGAAGTCTTAAAAGAAAGAGTGTCTAAATTGGAATCGAGCTCTTTGTCAAGTCTGTGAAACTGTAGTGCATAATTTGTTTAAGGCCAAATAGGAACCTCACTTGTAGATCTAAGGCTATTTTAAGACAAAAGGTGTCAGGGTGGAGGAGGGAAGTGCACGGGATGGGATGGAGGGGTGGAGGACAGGGTGAGCAGATACAGCCCTTACATGTCAGTGCCTGAGTCAACAGTCGCGCTTTACCACAGCTGCTCGGTGCACGTCAACCCTTGGTTAACTGAACCCAATCTCTTTTTTTTTTTTCCTTTTTGGCTACGCACATGCAGGGAAGATGCAAAAAATAATAATAATAAAAATAGAATAAAATAGAAAAGGACGCAGAAATGAGACGAGGAATATTCTGATTGACATTATGACTTGCATAAATGACACGTTATTTGGCCACATGGTGTAACATGTTACAAGAAGAGCTATCAGCGTGGGCACAGCCTGAAGTGACATTCAAACCTCCCTAGAGGGGAAAATTATGTTACCGGACAATATGAAGCACACTAAAAGAACAAAACAAAACAAAAAAGGTCAATGCAGCATATATCAGGCTTATGAGGTACTTCATGAATATATAGATATATCAACGTTTTTAGAAAAGCTCCTCCGAGTCATATTATTCCTTATAATTCCTATTGATAGCATAAAATACCTCGTCAGTTTTATTCTTATTTTCAGCCCAATCTCAGATGAGCCTCCTTTTTTTTTTCTTTTTCTTGAGACCGCTTTGAAAGTGCAAAACACAAATACTGATCGTTCTATGCAGCATCTACACATGAGGTTGCATGGTAGTTAAAACTTTTTTTTCTTTTTTACTTTTT